TATACTTCTTGTAAAAATGAAATGAGCCCCTATCCTCCCTCCCTTGGGCTTCCTAGCTGCTCAGATCCCATGACTCCCATAGCTACTACTCTTTCACCCCACTCTCAGCAAGAGCAGCCTGCTGATGAGTCAAGAGGAGCCTTTAAGAAAGGGGCTGGCCAGCTAGGCCAATACTACCAAAAAGCTTAGTAAAATGAGAGCAGGAAAATATCCAGTGGATTTGGAGCATGGAGGTCACCAGGGACCTAGCAAAAGCAATTTCAGTGTCAGCAGCCTATTGTGGGTAGAATCCAGACAAGACTTTGTTGAAGAGAGAATTGGGAAGTGAACAATGGAAACATGTCTGCACAACTCTCTCTGAAGAGCAGTTATCACATGAAGTAGAGAGGAGCAGTGATTATAGGGGAAGTAGGGGCAAGTGGGATCTTTTAGGATGGTTGCTAGCCGAGTCTATTCATAGGCTTACAAGAATGACCTAGTAGGCAGGGAGAGACTGATGATGTAGGAATAGAGTCCCTGAAAGTGTGGAAGAGGGTGATATCTAGCACTTGCTAAAGGGATTGCTTTTCCATAGGAGAAGGGCCGCTTCTTTCACTGTAACAGGAGGGTGGGGAGAATGTAGATGCTGACCTAGGTAGGTTTAAAAGTACAGTATTGGAAAGACTAGGGAGGGAATAGCTAGGCTCCTTTGGCTGCAGGCAACAGAAAATAACTATGGTTAACTGAAGCCAAAACTAAATGTATTAGATGAGTTTTGGGTAGCTTTAAAAAACTGCTAATAACCAGTGATGGTACCCCTGACAATCCACAAAGGGGCGTGGCTCCCTTTCAGACCTCTGGACAGGGAAGCAGGTAAGCGTGGTTCTTTACTCAAAGATCTAGTATACCTCACAGAACAGGGTAGCGTTACAGGATGAGGATACATTTCTTCCCATTGCACAAGGGTAAGAAGTCTTTATTTATTTATTTATTTTATTTTTTTTAGACAGAGAGCACAGTGGGCAGGGGCAGAGGGAGAGAATCTTAAGCAGGCTCCATGCCCAGCACAGAGCTGGACCCAAGGCTCGATCTCACCACCCTGAGATCATGACCTGAGCCGATATTAAGAGTTGGGTGCTTAACCGACTGAGCCACCCTGGCGTCCTGGGTTAGAAGTCTTTAAAAAGAGGTTGTCACGTATCTTGTCCTCTCTCCCACTCCCTCTCTTTAGTCTTTCTCCTTCCTCTGTTCCCCCTCTCAAGTCTCCCAGGTTCTAGGTTCTAGCCCCATCCTCGGGAAATAGAGCCTCCATCTCCAGGGGCCTTTTTACTCCATAGCCTTCAGTGGCTCCTGGTGGTAATGGTAGCTCCCCATCTAGGGTGCAGCCTGGAGAGATCAGGATGGACCGGACAAGTGAGTGGGGTTGGTGGGGTGCTCTAAATCCCATTTGGTCTCTCAAACAGTGAACAGCAGGACTGAATTTTCATAGGAATCATACTCCTACACAGAGCACTGACTTTGTCTGCAGAGGCAGTGCCATTTAGCTCATGTAAGGGAAACCTATTTTGATGCTCTCCCTTGCACAACAGCTCTTCTGGTCTTACTGTGTTGAGAAGTACGTGATGTGGTCCAGAGCCTCTTTTATTACCAGAGTTGCTGCTATTGGCAGCAGATCACATTTTCTTAGCCATTTATGATCTAGTGAATGCCAGCCCTTGTTGAATTTTTCCTCATCCTCCGGAAGAAATGGTAGTAACTTCAATTTGTCCTGCCATACCATTATGAAGCTTCAAAGCTAAATAGATGTCAAAAACAGAGACTAGGTGACCATTTTAGGTAAAGGTCACAGAGAATCATAATAGTCCAAAGTCTACTTTTTAGCTTTGTAGGCTAACACACTTAACCCTGTCGGTTCTCTGAAAGTTTTCAGGTTCTTGAGGACTCATGTGGTTGTCAAATTCCAAGAGACTTTTTTGGATAGTTGTTAAAATAAGTTATTCTTCCAACTTACTAATTTAGGAGGGAATTCTTAGAAGTCAACGTCCTTGTGTCAGATGAGCAGCTCCCTTTCTCTACTATAGAAAAGTCTACATGGAAAACCATATTGCTACTTCTTGCTTCTTGGCCTGAGAGTAACTGGGATGGAGGACAAAGATAGCCCCTCCCAAACACAATGCCCAAGTTCAATCTGGATCCTTCAGGTTCTAACCTCCACGGGGCACTTTCGCTTTCGTTTTCCCCTGATTCATTAGCTTCCTTGAATTGGTTCACAGTCAGTGATTTTTCTTCCCTTCACTAAACTCCTTTGAGTAGGGACCATGTTGCATTCATCTTTGTATTGCTACATTTTCTTCCCAGAGGCCAGGGCTGGTTTTGCATATGGTAGTTGTTCAAGACTGGTTTGTCATGTTACCACCCAGAGATTTCTGGAAAAACACTTCCCACTTTGCCCCTCAAGAGACTACATGATGTGGAATGAGCAGTGGACATACAGTGAGAACTTTTAAGTTTAATTTCATATTCTGCCACTTACTAGCTATGTGACTTGAGGTTAAATCACTCAGCACCTCCGAGCCTCAGTTTCTTTCATCTACAAGATGAACAATCCCTACCCAACAAGATTATTGTGAAGATCAAATAAGACCAGGTATGTCCAAGTGTTTTAAAGTCCCTATAAAACTAAGAGTTTACTAGTGATCATGGAGTCAGAACAAAGGAACTGGGATGACCTTAATGAATATCGTTAACACCCACCACCACCACTTTGGTCTACCTGTCTTTTCATCTCCATATTCTTAGCAACTAAGAGTTGCTTAGTTGGTTCTCAATAGGTAGATTCTCAGTAGATGTTTTTTGAATGAAGGCCAATGCTATTAAAATAAGTTTTGCATCCTACTTTGGTGTTTGCTGGGGGAGTAGAAGGCAAATTGTTCTAGAACCTTTCATGTGGATGTGGATGAGGTTAGTGCATACAGAGATGGAGAACATTCTCCTCCTGGCGGAGCCTTGGGAAGATGGAGTAGTTGTTGGACCTGCTGAAGTTCAGGGCCTCCATAGGGTGCTCCTGCCGAGCTCAGCCTGTGTTATCCCTGGAGCAGGTTGTCCGGATAAGATCTCTTGGTTGTGCCTCTGTTATTGGGACACCGATGTCTGATCCTACACAGCAAGCTCAGAGTCAGGAGTGATACCTGAAATGATGATGGGAAGCCCACTGAGAAGAGTGGGTTGCTTTTGGAAAAGAGACTGAGAGTGTGAGCTATGCTAGTATCGGCCATGAGTCAGAGGAGGGGAGCAATGGAATGGGGTAGGGAGGAGACAAAGATAGGAGCAAACCATGACTGTCCTGTGCCATTGGGGTGACCACCAGTGCAGACTATACAGAATCCTCGGGCGTGCACTTTCAGTGGTAGCAACGAAGTAATCAAACACCCACCTTCCCTGAAGACATCCTTTTGAAAATTAGAATGGTAATTTAACAAAATCGTTTTTGTTTGGCCCACCTCATTAAGGGATTACTTGATATAAAATCGATTTTTAACATTTTAATAAGGTTTTAATTTTATTACAATACAATCTCCTTCCTTTCCACAAGCCTCTGAAAGACACGGTTTATCAGGAACATACGCTTTTTCTCTGTTCTACTGCAACTTATAGAAAGACTGGTTTTTCAAAGAAGGCGGGTTTTTTCTTTCCTTCATCTACCTACCACACAATGTCCCTGCAGAGGAGCCTGTGAGTCTCTCTGCCTGTCAGGCTCCGGGCAGACTAGATCCCTAGATCGGGAAAGTACTTCCCAGCCCTGGTTCATGGGACTGTTTGGAGCATGGAGAGACTGCTTGCGTTTGCTACACTTCGATGTGACAGTCGTCCGGGGGCCTGTTCATCTGCAGCTGTCGGCTCTGCCCTTCCCCCGAGACTCAGTGCTCCTGGGGCTGCGATTCAGTTGGTCACGGTCACGCTGTGGACTCCATCCTCCTGCTGAGCCTTCTCATCAACAAGACAAGCCCTCTGTGGGAGGATGGGGGGCAGTGTGAGCCTGGCTTGACAGATGCACCTGGAACACTGGGAGTGAACACAAACAAGGACATTGCAGTTGAAGAAAAAACTTGGCAGAAGCAGCGTGGATCTGACGCCTTGACTTGGAACGGCGACAAGAAATCCAATTAGAGTACACTCTGTATAAAGAGTATAAAAAAAAAAGTGCTTTTGTTTTGCTTTAATCCCACAGAAGTAAATGAGAGAATAAGAACCAGATTTAGAGTAAGTCTTTCGTTCAAGATTTTCCTTGAGACAGTGTCAAGATGGAAAACATCTTTTGGAGATTGAAGAATGCTCTCGTTTGTAGAATAGCTAATTAAAGCTTCTTATAACCTGAATGACCTGTTGTGGGACTCTAGAGCTAAGCAGAGAATGCACTTCCTACAGGACGGAAGCACCCTTATCGGGCATATGTGATGTGTTCTGTGTGCTCTCCACTCTCATACGGGGGCACAGTGTTCGCATGGACCTCAGAATTTCTCTGTGTAGTTACTCATCTATAAGGGAAGGAGAGTACTTGTACAAAGCTACAGTAGAGCAAAAACCTGTCACTCATAGCTTGAGGCTTCTATGAGGTTACTTTAGATCCATATAATCTGTTTTAGGCACATGTAAATATATATTTATGTTTAAATATAGAAGTATCCATTTTGTCATGAGAGTGATTCTCAAGGGAGTCCAGTATTTTAAATCTAAGGGGCTTCAGTCAGTGATTTTTGATACTATATTTAGATTTTACATCAATTGTGAAGAATCTACTTTTTTATCATTATGATTGCCTAGTGTAGCCCCTACCCTCTGATCTTTCCTTGGGGCTTGCAATTAAGTGAGTAATGATCTTGGGAGGTTAAGTAGATAGTATTATTGTGAAAACCTATTAAATCCAATTATTTATTTATTTTTTTCCCATGACCATGAAACACGATCCCTAAAAGCTGAGCTTGTGCAACTCCCTGGAAGGCTTATGGCTCAGGTCAGCATTGCATCTAATGAAAACAAAACCAAAAATAAAACACAAGTGATCCATGAGGCTGGTTCTTTGAGCCTCATTGCCTATTATTGTAAACATCCGAACTTCAGGGTTTTCAGGAAAAGTTCTGCCCTGCAAGATGTGCAGAAAGTCAGGAGTAACCCAGCCCCACCATTGTTTTTGACTGGTGACGCTTCACGCTGCTTGTCCTGATTACGCCAACTCAGGTAAGAGAGGTATTCTTTTCTGCCTGGAAAAGTTCCTATGTGGCCTGAAAGAGCAAATAGCTGTTGGAGGTCAACTTTTCTATAAGTCTCCTTGGTCGACCAAGATCCTTAGGTGGAGATTCAGCATGGCATCCCAGGTCTCTGTCATGTCATGAGGAGGGGTTGCTGACCCATGTGGGTGCTGTCATTACCTGGACATTGGGTGGTGTTCTTAGTGGGAGTTGTGCTTGATACCAAGGAAAGGGTGACTTACGCCACTGTCACCTGCTTTGTTTCAGGGTAGGAGGTAGCCCAGTTGCCTGGTTACCTGTGTTGTCGCAAGGTTTAATTATCTTTAAAGGGTGAAGCTCCCTCTGATGAGTTTTCTTCTGATTGTTAGCATTCAGAATGTCCTGCCCTCTCAATAATGATAACAAAAATAATGCTTCCTTTGCTAAAGGCATTAACTTTTAGACCTATGTTTATAATATATGTTTACGCTATAGATCTGGCTTCCTCCAATCACATGAACAATGGCTTCATGATTAAAAAAAGTACAGTCCCTTTCATTTGTAGAACGCATTCAATTTTATGAAGTACTTTTACACCAATTATCTCTTGTGTCCCTCAGGCAAACCTGGGAACTAGACATGGAAGGCTTTCTTCCTTTCTCTCCTCCCTGTCACCCCTTTCTAAAAGAGCAAGGTGTGCAAGGCCCTGAGTTTGGGGCATCAAAAATCACCAAAGTAGTTAAGTTGTAAAACCAGGACTAAAATAAGTCTACTAGGTCAAAGATTGGGATCCTGTTTTTGCCAGTATTTTGAATGTTTGCTTGCAGAATTATTTGATGATTTTTTTTTTTTAGGGCAAAAAATGACTTGATACTACTTCAGGAAAACAAACACTACTAAAATAATCTGCTGGTAGCATCTCCAAATCTCCAGGTCTTTTGCCGAGTCTCAGTAACAGGGCGAGAGACAGTGGTCTTCTATTTGAGAGAGTCCTGAGGAATGGGCTGATACTGCTTTTCCAGTCATTCAAAATATTCAGGGTTCTGAAAGTTTCTCAAGGGGAGACTGCATGCCTCTTAGTGTTGTTTGCTGCTTCAGGGATAGGAAGAGATCAGATGCTCTGAATGTGGAGCTGAAAGTAACGAAATAGAATATTTCTCTCTCGGGACGCCTGAGTGGCTCAGTCGGTTAAGTGTCTGCCTTCGGCTCAGGTCATGATCCCAGCGTCCTGGGATCAAGTCCCACATCGGGCTCCTTGCTCAGCAAGGAGGCTGCTTCTCCCTCTGCCTGCCTCTCTCTCTCTCTCTCTGATAAATAGATAAAATCTTAAAAAAAAATATTTCTCTCTCCACTCATGCATTATACTCATGAGAAAATTGAGGCCCCAAATATTAAGTGATTATAAGGTTATACATGTTTGTCTGGCAAGATATAAACTTATTTATTTATATATTTATTCATTCATTCATTCTTTCATTTATTTTTAAGTTGGCTCCATGTGCAGCATGGAGCCCAACACAGGGCTTGAACTCATGACCCCAAGATCAAGACCTGAGCTGAAATCAAGAGTCTGACACCCAACTTACTGAGCCACTCAAGTGCCCCAAATCTTAACTTTTAAAATTATTCCAATCTAGGGGCACCTGGGTAGCTCAGCCAGTTAAGCATCTGCCTTTGGCTCAGCTCATGATCCCAGGGTCCTGGGATCCCATGTTGGGCTCTCTCTCAACCGGGAGCCTGCTTCTCCCTCTCCCTCTGCAGCTCCCCCTGCTTGCACTCTTTCTCTCTCTCTCTCTGTCAAATAAATAAATAAAGTCTTTTTAAAAAAACAAAAAAACTATTCTAATCTAAATCATGAAAACCACTTATCCTCCAATGAAGAATGTCATTTTCAATTACAAGCTGTGTGTGCCATACTCTGCCCAATGGGAATCATGTAGAGTGACTTATCTCAGGATTTTTGCAATATTTGTATGTGGAAATAACACATTGATTCCACAAATAATTATTATTTTAAGATATCGTGGGTGCATTGCATTTGGATCAATGTTGATCAGTCCCCCTTGAGTGAAATGCTGAGCAAAGAGCAGGGGTGTAAATACAGAAGTCTCATACTCACTGCAGTGGAGAAAGGCTGATATAAGGGCAGAGGGTGCTTTCACCACCAATGGGGCACAGCCTGCATCCCAGGGGCCCAGGGCACTGTGCCACCTTGTTTGCTCTTTAGACTTCTGTTTGTCTAAGTTGATGATCATAAACAGCAAGACAGAGACAGTTTCCTAAGAAATCCCTTTGACATTCTAGCAATGACTCATGGAGCCACTTGATGCCCACAGATTAGCCAGTGTCACCTCGTGGTGTTCTTGGCTTGTCGCACGTAATGCACGTAAATCACGTAAAACGTGGGAATCCAGTTCTTCCTGTGCCAGCCTGCACCCCGAGAGGCTGCTTTCTTCTGTCCTTAAGGTGAGATCTCAAGGCAGCTTCCGGTTCTCCCAGGGCCCCTAGTCCTGGAGTTCTCCTGCCCCACTGCTCTCTCTCTCTGAATGGCCCCCACCCCACTCTGACGGTCTATCCCACGCAGGGGTTTTCTCCAGTTGACCCCTTTTTGTTATCTTTTTGCTATATTATAATTTTCCTGACAGTGGGATCCCTAATGGGATCCTGTTTCTCTTATATTCTAACAGAATACAAGCAATAGTAAGTAAGTACTTAAAGACACTTTTATATGATTAGCTGTGTGGTAATGAGAAGAGTTTTCTAAGATTCCTCCCTCCTTTCCTTCCTCTCTTCCCTCCCCTTCCGCCTCTCCTTTCTTGCCTGCTTTCCTCCCTTTTCCCCTTCCTTCCTTCCTTCCTTCCTTCCTTCCTTCCTTCCTTCCTTCCTTCCTTCCCTCCTTCCTTCCTTCCTTCCTTCTACAAATACCTATTGCAATAAGAGACAGGCATCATGCTTGGTTTGGGGAGAGGGTAAGGAGGAAGGCCAGTGTGGCCCTTCTTATCATGGGTATGATGGTTTAGGATGTTACCAGCAGTGCAGAGCAGGGGAAGGGTGTGCTGTGGAAAAGAGCATGAAGGCATTTATCTCATAATCAGAGAGTACTAGATGGAGAAAGCCTGGCTTCCTTCTTTACTTGGGGAAGTAGAGCTGAGGAGGTGGGGTGGGGGTGGGGGTATGTGTCCAAAGGAGCAGCAGAGCTAGAGGCATTGCCAGACTCTGACTCCAGCATTTTAGAAGCCAGGGACCTTTGGGCAAGTTTTAACACCCCTAAGCCTCTGGGGCTTCATCTATAAAACAAAGGTTTTGTGAGGATTGCATTAGTTATATGAAAATGCTTCTTAAACTCCTGTATAAATGTGAAGGATTTTATTGTATAGGCATGTCACATTTTTTCCCCCTCTGAACAACTTGACCTGAATAGTTGGTACCTCCCCTCTGAGCATGAGATAATAGGTAATAGGCCAGTTCTTTGTGAGTAGAAGTAAGAACTCTGTGCATTAGACATAGTACACCCTTGAAAACACATTTATTTCTACACTGAAGCAGTGTTTTGTTAAATGACACAGATCATGCCTGAATGAGATAATGAAGTTTCCAGTTCAACTCACACTTGGAAATTGTTCATAATGGAGAACATGGTCTCATGATGGTTTGAAAAAATTTAAGGTCAAAACCTACTTTTCTGAAAAGATAGAGACCACCTTTCCCTCTGCCCTAAATCAACCAATTCAAACCAAAAGATGAATCCCTCCTAGATCTGGGTCCCCTTTCTCACTTGTTGTTTTTTACCACGATTTAGGGGGCCACTCTGTGGCCAGGGTGCAGGGCCATGGCATCCCAGGTATGATGCTTCAAAGTGACTCACCGTGGAAGGAGGCTGGAAAGGCCAAATACTCACCCTGGTTTCTCAATTGGTTAAATGGGAGGATAGGTATTGACCTGATTAATAATTGCCCCCCCTTTTGAGTAATAACATGAGATCTATAAAACTCTCCTGGTAAAACATGATGTTAACAAAGCCAGACATGACTGTTAAACCAGTTCCCGTGGGTGACAGTCACCATCTAGCACACGTCGCTTTCACTGGGAGCCACTCGTGGTGCCCTGTGTTGAAAGCCTACTTCCCATTACATAAGGAGAGTGGCTCCTTCCCCAACTATGGCAGAGCTGTCAGTCAGACAGATCTCTTGTACCGGTCTATGAACTTTAGACCTTGCTTTCTCCACGGCTGCGGACTGGCTTTCTTTAAAGATGATTACGGCCTCCTTCCAGGATGGTTGAGATCCCATTTGCAGTTCACAGGCTCATTGGTTTTAAAGGTAATTTCTACAAGGTAATTCAATCAAATCATTTTTTTGGTTGAGTCATTTTTTGGTTTTCAAAAGTTGCAAATAGCAGAGTGATGCTTTCCAGAGACTTGTTGAGTTACAAGGGCACGTTTGTCACATTTGACTGGTTTCCTGGTTGAAATGGAGACAATTATTGGGTGTTGATATTATAATCAGTGATAGAGAAATATACTGACCACTGATAACATCTCCTGACCTTCTCCATTCCTAAGAAGTGGTGGCCTGACTTTTATGCAGCATGTAGCAAAGTCTATACCTACATGGAGGAGACCAGATGCAGGACAACATATCTGCTTCAATGCCTTTGTCTTGGACAGTAAGCTGTGCATGTGGTGTTAATGTAGTTGAGTTTAGAAGAGTCTCTGGGCATTGACATTTTCATCAGCAAAATGAAAACAAGATGATCTTCAAGTCCCATCTAGGGTAACTACTCTGTGACTCTGAATTAGTGACAATCTTTTGGATTAACTGGAAATAATAAACTCTGCTCTTATTTTTATCTTTGCTAATAACTTGCTAAATGATCTATGACTTCCTCATCTGGGTTTTGGGCTTGCTTTGTTGACTTGTGTGTGTCCTGCCCTCTGGCGTAAATTCTTCTCCCTTCACCCAGAGGCTCTAGACTATCAGAAGACCTGGGAGGGGCTATCTTTCTGTAAGG